ATCCTTTAATGACTTTTTAATATGAAAAACTTTCTATAAGCATTTGAGAGTTTCATATCCTTGTGATGGAAAAGTTGTGAAAAGGTCCTATCAGTCCTGTTTTGAGGACATGAAGCAATAATAGTCACCTTTTTTGAATTAATTTTATTTTCAATTTTAAAAAGAGCATAAAAATAGCATAAACACATATTAAAAGGGAATAGAAACACACAAAAGCGTGACTCCCAATTTAAGCATGAAGTTACAAACTTCCAAGTATTCTCTCAGCTAATCAATGAGTTTTAAGGGGCACTGAAGAGAACTCATGCACTGAAATTTTCCAGTTTAAGAAAACAAGTTACTATTCTGTTCTTCAGGATGTCTTTTGGGTGACTGACACTCAGAATCCCTGCCATTAAGTTCAAGGTGAATATCACTGTTGGATGTGTTCACTTCCAATAAGCTGCAAACAGTACCCAGTGATATGTCCTGTCTAGTCCAGTGTCACTGAGAGAAAAAGAGGGTTTTTTCTCCAAGGCACACCAGAAGACACCATGGAAGCATTGACTAAAATTGGGGTACAGCTGGGATGAGCACCCTATAGGAGTATTTTCACTGTCTAAAGTGGCACGGTTGGAAAACGATAAAAGCATAAAAACACTCCATTCCCATTTTTAAAAATAAAAATCTGGCCTGTGAAGGACTGGCAAGCCATCAAAGACAGGCTCCGACAGCCTCAAGGCAGAAAGATTTCCCCAGGATCACTCTAGTGCCCTAACTCCAAAACAACCCCTCCTCTCCAAAGCATCACTGTGAATCCCAGTATCTGCTATAGAATGCCTAGGCTAATTTTACCTTTCTGAACACTGGTGGAAGTCTGAATAGTAATTTCAGACATTGGCATTGGCAAAACGTGCCAACAAAAAACATTTACTGAAAAAATATTTTCCTTGTACAGAGGAACATTGCAATTTCATGATGGAAAGGGCACAGACATTCTGCTGCAAGTGAGACTAACTAAAGTCAGAAAACATACTTCAAAATGAGTAACAGTGACACACAGAGTAACATGCTCAAGTGGACTAGTTCACCATATTCATATTGCTGCCCTGGAAAGTATTCTCAGAATGCTCCTATCTGCATGAGGTGGTGATGTGATTGATCAGTTTTCAGAATTTACCAGCCCATGGACCCAGAGGTACAAGAGGAACTCCAATCAAAATCAAAATGTCACATACTGTTGTAATGCAACTTACACCTGAAGGTGACAAACAACAAATACATATGTAATGAGTGCTTGATTTTATTAGTGTTGAATAAATCAGGCATTTTTGAAACTGTAAGAGGATGATACTAATCTTCCCTCAAATAAATTATTCACATCTTCTTTATTAGTTCTAGCTCACAGATATGCACAGTCTCTGACAGCCCTACATCCCTCACATTAGGAATCATTCAGCTTCCAAGTCATTCCTCTTCTCAGACACTTCACTTCCAGCAGCAAATCAACCTTACCCTTGCATGCTTTACGTGTGGGATTTATGATGACAGTGAATAAGAATTCATCCTATTGTTGTTCCAAATAACTGTAATATTTAAAAACTCAAATAAGCACCTTCTTTCCCAAAGACTGTTGCATTTTTCATATCTGTAGACCTGATTTCAAGGCAGCTTGACCTATTTTGATACATAAACACAACTAGAATTTCAGAAGTGTTATTTGTGTAGAGCTTTCAGCTCTTATTATAGTCAGATTTTCTAAAGAATTCAAGTATCCCAGTATCAAATCCATTGCAAAAAAAAGTCATTTACTGTAGTCCTGACCAAGGATCTGTACTCTTTTGAAACTCTGGCCCTGGTATTGAGTGCTACTCTCTTGTAAAGTCTTCAGGCTTTAACTGGTCTGATTCCTCCAGCATTTACACAGAAAACTGGTGATATCTACTGCTGTGGACATCTGGGAAAGAGATACAAGCCAAATTCTTTATTTATATTAGCTGGCAAGCATAATATATTTATAAAAAGAGAAGCATTCCTAAGCATCAGATATGATTATTTTTACTCTCCATGCAGACCGTGTTACCCGTTTTATTATTCTACAGGGCGTTGGAATTTTACACTCTGTTACTAAAGAAGCATCAGTGCAATACAGTGCAACAACTTTATGGCATGAACATCCACAGCACTGGTCAGCTCTTTCCCCTAAAATTCTCTAAAATCACACAACCATTAAAATTAAATACTGTGTTTATATTAGTAGCAGAGTAACACACTGGGAGCTAGCTTTAGACTCTCTATCCTTCAACCAGTTGAAACTTGAAACAGAGATGGGAAAAACCTGTGCCTTTGCAGAAGGCAAGAGCAAGAAAACAATGTGAAAGCAGCAGTATGAGTGCCAGCTTCTGGGAGTACAAGATATAGAGAATCCCAGGCTAATCTGTTCCCAGCTATACTATTCACCACACGGTGTCTAAGGATTTGTTTTAAGCCCTTCCCAAAGAGTGTGTCATCCCATTTTCTTGTCTCCAGAAAATGTATTATGTAACTGTAAATAAATGTTCAGATGATTTTAGCAGTCATCAGAATCTCTTGTATTTGAGTATGACAGCTCTTTTCCCTGAAGATTAATTTAAGAAGTTGCCATTTGTGGCCATTTTACTACATATTTTTTACTTCACAAGCAGATTTCTCACTTTGCTACTTTCTTGGGATTACAGAACTCATCTTTGTAAACTAAGCCCTGAACTGAAACCTGGGAAAAAATGGAGATCCATTTTACTCTCTTTTTTCTTTGATCCACAGGACCTCCAATTCAGCCTCTGTTACTGAAGATAACTGGTTTTATGACTTCTCTCTTGATATAACCTCTTGCTTTCACCTCAGTTAAAATTCCTGTACAAGTCTCACTGCTATCCATATTAAAAGGGCAAAATGAAAAAAAAAATCCTAAAGAACTTTTTACTATCTTATCTCTTCTTTACTCGCTGAATGTGAGTAATTTTGGATGTGTGCATAAATGATAGTTCTTTTCCACTCTTAACCACCCAGCATATGATATGCTGTAAAACAAGGCAGAGATGTTCCAGCTACTTGAAACTACACCTGTTCTGAGTGTTTTGAGGGCAACATCTCATAGTAAGGACCTGGTCATGGCATGCTTGGGAGCCCTCAATTCCAACAGTCCCCACAAAATACAGATGGGATTTAAATCATATATAAATACTGCACACAATCTCTGTGGGGGATCTCCCTCTTCAAATCTTGCTACAAGTGGATTTTCAAATGTTTGCACAGATTTTGAAAAAATTTTGCCCAATAAAACTCATTACTTCTTATACAGCAAAAGAAGCAAGAGAGGAATGATTGAATCAGTTGGTGAATCTGAAGCATATTATAAAAAATTAACATAAAAATGTGTGCTAACAAAAGTAAGGTAAACACAATACAAAGATATTAATTCATTTCCTTCACAATACTACAGTTAAATTTCCAAGCTTTAAGCTGTTTTAATTTAATGCATTTTCCCCAGGTCTGCCATTCTCCTGTGACAGCAGAAACAAGTACAACAGTATGTTACAGTCAAAGAGTATCTTAAAATATTTACACATTTGCCTCCCCAGCTTCATATATCCAGTATTTTTAATGCAAACCACCAATCATCTCATTCACAACGCCTGTCTGCCTAATTTCCTCAAGTACTTAATGGTGGCTATTATGACAACCAAGGATCATGGGACTAGATCCCTAAGAGACAAGGTCAGACCAGTAAAATTAGCCATCTGTCCAGTAAGGGTTTTAAGCTCAGGCTGTATTTAAGTATTAAGTTTCCAACTGCACAGGGACTTGTTTTCTTCTCACATGAGCAAGAAAAGGCACAATAGTGATTCTAAAAACCAGCAACAAAAATCTTTCAATACTGTGGGATGGACACAAAAAAGATCTAAAGCTACAAACATTTTGTGAGATGAGGCAGAACTTACTAAACTTTTTGTATTTCCAGCTGAACTGATCTCAGTGAATTTAGTGATAAAAGCCAGTGTTGGTCACAGACTCCAGGACAGTCACAGTGTTTGAGACAATCCCAGGCATTGTTATCTTCTCTTAGCACCGCAATTTGTAAAGTATACAGAATGTCAAACTTCACCATGCACTATGTCTCATCTTATTGTTTACATTTTACCTTACTGTTTCATATGCTGCAGACTGTAAAAGGGTTTTAACTTTCAACCTCTAAGGACCGTGCAGGACCTCCTTGATCAGCGCGCAAACCTCCCCTGGACAGCCGTGGGAACTCCCCCAGGACACGGGCAGCGCTCAGCCAGGAGCAGGACCAGGAGACACACCAGCCACATCCTGCTTGGTACACGACAGCCACATTTTTGGGACAAAATCATTGCTTCTCTAGTCATTTTTCTTTCACATGTACTACTCTGTGTCTTGGCTTATTCGCTGCCACACATACCAATGTCACAGCCACGGAACAGCCTTCCCGACAGGTCACCCCTGACTGCTTAGAGGTTCACCTGGCTTCTAACTCTGCTCACGCCGCACCGCAGGTAACGGCATCCAGGGAAAACCGGATAAAATTTCCGCCAATTTCTTCCGCAGTAGCAGCAGCCTGGTCCTGGTTTGTAAATAGAGCGCACCCACCGGCACTGGGTGCAAGATGCCGGAGGAAACGGGTCATACACCGACCCGACGGGTCATACACCGACCCGATGGGTCATACACCGACCCGGCAACTTCGCGGGTCCCTGCCATTGCCTGGGCATCCTCTTTTCCCCGTGCGAGGGCGGCAGGGGCTCGCAGCGAAGGGCGAGGAGAGGCGGACGCCCCGCCGGGCTCCCGAAGCTCCCGGACGAGCTCCCTGACCGGCCCGACCTGCGGCGCTGCCCGCTGCCCGCCCGGGCCCCGCTGCCGCCTGTGCCGAGCCGGGGCAGCCCCAGTGCCCAAGGGAACTTCGCCGGTGCGAGGGAGTCGCGGGGCGGGCACCCCTCGTCTGCCGCCGCCGCCCGTCCTACCTTGCCGGCGGGGGATGTTCCTGCGCGGCGTGGCCGTACAGCCGATGCACGAAGCCAGGAGCAGCACCAGGGCGAGGCAGCGGCCGTGACAGCCGCCCGGCACCTCCATGTGCGCCGAGTCCCCCCGCCCGAGCGAGCGCGGAGCTGGGGCCGCTGGCCGCGGGCGAGGGGCGCCGGCGCCCAGCCGGGAGCGGAGCGGAGCCGGGGCGGCGAGGAGCGGACAGCGGGGCTGGGACGAGCGGCGGGCAGGGCGGGGAGGGACGGAGGGAAGCGGGAGGAGGCTGGGTCCGGCCCTTTGATGGGATTACGGCCGCTCGGCGCGGGGCACGGCTCGGCACCTCCCCCCGGGGCGCCGCCCGCCCCAGCCCCGCCGGAGGGGTCGCGGCGTCCCCTGCCGGGAGACCCCCGAGCCGGCGGGGCCGCTCGGCAGCACGGCCCTGCCCTCAGGAGCCGCCCCTGGCACCGTGGGGCAGCGTGTGCCTCAGCGGGCACCCCGGCCCGTTCCTGAGCCCCGGCCCGTTCCGCCCGGCGGGACCCCAGCCCCGGCGCTGCTCGCCCCAGGGAGCATCGGCATTTGACACGGGTTTCTTCCTTTTTCTTTCCCCCGAAGGTACGGGGCTGAAATGCTAGCCAGCTGCTGGGGCGAAGGCGAAGCTAGGAAGAGGATTTGGTGAGGAAATTGTTGCTGAATTAAGAGGATAAATTAAGTTTAATCCCCCCCCCCCCGCCCCCCCCAGATGGAGGCTGAGACCTATCCAGCCACTCAGACTAATATAGAAACCCCCGTGGAGATTAGAGGGGATGGGGAGGGCAGGGGGAGGAAGGCAAAGGGAAGTGCTGGAGTTTGACCATACAGGAAAAAAACTGAGATAAACAAGAAATCCAAGGCATCTCTTCAGAGCAATAAAACATTGGTTGGATGAAGGACCAAATCCATTTGATTCAGTATCCCATCTTTGAAATTTAAAAGACAGAAGGAAGTGCAGAAACTTTGTATTAGCAGACATGAGATTATCTGTCCTCTGCTCCAGTTCTCATCCTAAGCTTGGTTAGTTAGAGATCAGTATAAACCCTGAAACACCAGAGTTGTTATGTCTTGAGGGTTTGTGTGGCCTTTGGTTTGGAAATTTGCTTCATTTGTTTATTTTGCTGTTTGCTTTGATAACTTTCAGTGGGTTTGATGTCCATGTAAATTATGTATGTTTATACAGTCTCTTTGTGAATCTGTAAAACTGATACTCTGTTCAATGAGTTCCATGCTGTAATTTTATGACATGTGGAGAAAAACCAGGAAGAGATCAGAAGAAAAACTGTCTCTCTGTGTGGGAGCAGTGCTGATACAGGAAAATAAGGAAATCTGTACCTCTTTAGGGTATGAGAGGAGACAAGGAAATGGTGATGAAGTCCTTTCGGACAGAAGATTCAGAGGAAGGGATCCTGTAAAAGTACTGCAAGTACCTCGTGAAGTTGTTGGGGGCAGTAATCAAAACCTTTACAGGAGACAGTGGAGAGGACAGCCCTTGGCTGCTTCAGGAAAGGAGAGGAGACAGAAACCTGGTCCCCTTCGAAAGGGCATCATCCAGGCTTCAGAGTGATCACTGCCAGGAGAATATGCTCGAGGCTACAGGAATTAAAGATGAGGAGTAGTTTTGTTATCGTGATTGGGATGCCAGTGGTATGTCTGTCTCACACTCTTATCAGCCTGCCTTTGCAGAGACAGAGGAATTGCAGTACATGTGGGAGAGTTGAAGGACTCAGGAATTCCTGGCAGGGTCAGTAACTGTGGTGTGCTAAGAAACTGCAGGTCACAGGGCAAAGAATGAACTCTGGACTCCATATTTGCCCAAAAGGCACATGGACTGCTCACTCCTTGACAAAAATGGCAAGCAGATCACAGCCAAGGGTGGAGAAAAGCAAAGCCTGTCCTTTATGTACACTCCAAGTAATTGTGGTTTGTACAGTGTGCTGTCATCAAATTCATTACAATTTCTACTTTCCTTCTTGCTTGATCACCTTCCTCCCTTCCTTCACTCCCCCATTGCCTTCCTCTGACTTTCTTTTCTGGCAGTACTCATAATAACCACTGTTTGTCTTCTCACATATACCCATCTACCCAAAGTATTCTGTGATTAAGTTGTAGTTGGACATATTGAGGCCAAAATGATTGGAACACCAAAGTTGATACTGCTGAGTTTCAGGCAGTTATAAGATTCAGACAGATTTTGTAATTTTAATTACAGTTTTAGGAGATTATCTCTGCAGCCATGCAAGTTGGCAACTTGCCTTCTGCTGCGATGGAGCAGGATATTCAGTTCTGGATGTATGGAGAGGTGCTCTTCCTGAAAATCCTACCAACAAAGGTAATCCACCACAAGCCTGGTGAATTCCCTCTAAATAACAACACGATTCCCAGCGGCTTTCTCACTGGTAAGATTTTTACACTCTCCTCATTGGCATAGTCCCTGTTGTCTTCCAGTAGCATACCAATTAAAATTAATAAAACTTGGCACACATTTGTTAATGCAACCTCTATCAAAGTGAAAAGCATTTTGATGGAGTATGTAGAATTAAAGCTTAGAATTTTGCTTAAAGTATAAACATATGCATTGCTGTTCACTGATCTGGGAGATGGCAAGATGAGTGAAGAGTTACATGAACTTTTGACAGTGCTGAGTTTTGGGAGGTTAGATTGTTGCTGAGTTTTGTGCCTGTCTCAGACTAGCTTGTGAGATACAGCATTGTCTTACAGACAAAAAATTACCTTTATCATGGAGGAGTCTCTTGTACCAGACAAGCACAGTTGCTAATTGTACCTCTTGTCAGCATATTCTTCCAGCTGCCTCTCCTTGTCCTCAGCTGAAACTTGTTCTGTTTGGATTTGGCTTTAATCAGTGGTCTGCAATTTGATTCAGCCTCAGAGCCACCTCTATACCAGTGACGAGATTTTTGTTTTGTTCCAAAGAATATGTAAAATATCCTTGTTTAGCCTGGTTTTCTAGTGGTTGTAAATACTTGTTGATAAGGACTGAGACGCAGTCTTTCAAAAGTCCATAAACCCAGGAGTCTAGTGGTGGTGGAGGCAATTTTCCATCATTATCTCCGTCACCAGGGAAGATGCTAACTAAGCCAGCACATGAACTGGGACATACTAGCCCTGTGTTCAGGTTGAATAGAGTACTCCATTCCTTCTCTTGCTCTGTAGCTCTGGGAAGGAATCATACTCCAGTCCACATAGTTTCTTACTCAGTGAAGCAAAGGGATACAACACAGAGAATTTTCCCCTCACCTCTTTTCCTTAAGAGGCAGTGCATGTGCATACAGCAATAGGGATGCAAGGAATGATGTCCTGGGAAGGCAGGAGAGAGTGTGTCTCCTACTTCTATGTACTCAGACCCTTCTAAATGCTCTACATCCAGAAGGATCAACGGATCAACCTGATTCAGTTCCTGTTATATCAACATGTGATTTCCAAGTGCTGGAATCCAGAGCCACCCCTTTTCCTTGAAAAGGTAAAAATAGATATAAATGCAAAGCACCAAATTTTCAAGCATGGCCATAACTGCCTTTCAGGTTTTGGAGGTCCAGTGTAGCAGGACTTCATTTTTTGGGTAAATTTCAAAGTTGGCACATCAGGACTCTCTAAGGAACAAAGTGTGCTTAGTAGGCATCTAGACCATTACTCATTCATAGTTAAAAATAGATCCCTACTCTTATTTTCAACACCTGATTTTACAATAAATCGCTGTGGAAGGACCTAAACCAGGATGTTTACCCCAAACTATTTGGTAGAAGCAAGGAAACCTTTGTTTGTGGGCAGTGAAGTGAGCAGATGAGAGGCTGGGGAGCAGAAGAATCTGGCCAGTGAGGTTAGCAGGCTTTTCCTCTGTGATTCATGGGGGTAGAAGAGCCTCGTCTTTGCCTTGGAGCTTGTCTTCACTTGAAACAGGAGTGTAAATTTATAACATTTTCCAGAGTTGTTGAACATGTGGATACATTTAGTCGAGAATAGGATTAAAAGAAAAACAGTGAAAAAGTCTTTTGAGATAGAAGTGTACAAATGGGGGCATCTCATGTTGAAATGGGATATTTTATACCTTTATAATTCTTCTTACGATGAGAGTATAGGGGGCAGATTAAGACATTTGGAATCTGGACATTTTCATAATTATGAAGAATGGATTATTTTCTCATTAATTAAAGCTTTAAAAATTCTGTTGTTCTCTCTCCTTTTTTTTTCTTTAATAATCAGCATTTTTTAAAAGACAAATTCCAAATATGTAGCATTGTGTCAATTTGTTCATGATCCACTATAGACTTTTGTCAGGAGTTTTTCATGGGTTCTTATCAAAGGAAGAGCATAAACTTTTGACCTATTAAGGTCCTTTTAGTATGCCAAGGTCACTCTATCTATTTTAGCATCCTGGTATTTATTCCAATGAAATACTGATTAAGAGGTTTACCAATCTGTATATGTGTTAAATAGGATTATATAGAAGAAAAGATCTTTTTATTGACTTTGGTAACTTCATACATTTATGGAAGATGGAAGGACTATTACTTACTAGTTTTCAAAATTAAACCTCAAAAATGTCATATCACTTAAAACCAGCAAACTTTAATTTAGCAAGTCATGTTTTGTTTTATAGCAGTAACAAGCAAACTAATGGTAATTTGTATTTTATTATTAAATTAGAAACCAGTGATGTTTAATAAATTAATATATTTGTTGCTTCTACTAATCTTTATAATAAAGAATTGCCTAACTTTGAAAATGCCATAGATGTGCATAGAGTGCATATGACAATATCTCACTTAAAGCCATAACTCTTCTGCATAAACTGTTCTTTCCTGGCTTAACTAAAAAGTGTCTTGGGTAGAGATGTTTCAGCCAATATACATCTGAACACGTTAGGAAGTTCAGGCTGCCCAACAAACTCAAGGGACAAGGGTCATGGAAACGAGTTTTCCTGCAGAGTTGGTGGGGCTTCTTCCTTAGCATATTATTAGGAAACACATAAAGGTCTATGTAAATTTAAACTACATTGAAACAGTGAAGGGATGAGTTTAGCCAATAGGTTCTGAGCTTCTGACACCATCAACTTATTTTAG